AGGGTTTAAGGGTTTAGGGTTTGCAAGTGCGGCAGCGCCTTTGCTCAAGTTTCCAGTTGTAAGCAGCTTCGGTGCAGACTGATTATGCCGGGTCAGGGAATATCGCTGAATGGCGCAATCGGACTATCTGCTTTTTCCCCCGGGCTGCTCGAGAGTAACAAACTGCACAGAAGATCAGTTTCCTGTGTCTGAGGTGCCTCAAGAGCGAATAGCTTTTGCATCCGCCCCGCTTCCCCGGATTAGTGGCTTAACACTTCCCCGAAATTTCCAATTCCACGCTCTGTGCCATCCACCACTGTGTTCTGAAGTGGTTCCAGGCCATCTTGTTTCCTGCGCCTCGCTGATTTCATCTCGCTGTCCTCAACAATCCGCCACTGGTGACCCATCTGGTAGTAGAGCTCTAGCTCCTTGGTAGCTCCAGCCTTAGTCAAAGAGTTTGCCAGCTGGGCCTCACTGTGGACCCAGCGGACAGTCAGACCTGTCTGCTGCTGTGAAGCCTTGACCGCAAGCAGTTCTATGTTCGATCGCTTCTCAGCTCCCTTGATCGTCAAGACCTCGGTATTTAACTTATCGAAGACATTCCGGGAATCTGAGACCAAACACCCAGGGATGCGTCTGACTGCCGACTCTGGGTCCTTCACATCTATCTTGCCGTAGGCCATCTCGCTCCATTGATACCTTAGATAATATAAGGCATCCTCTCCGTTCACAGCTGCCTGAGTCTCCGCAGCACCTGGGCTCCTGCAGGCACGGTCGATCTTGTGGCTGCTCCACGAAAGTGGAGACACATCCTGTACTTCGCCCCTCTGAAGCCCCATAGTACCCATCCCCAGAAAGACTCCCTGAGTTGACCCACCATCTGGTCGATTCTGGCTTCCAGCATCCACCCAAGCATACAAACACAGTTCTTCCTGAGGAGGAAACGCATGTATCTTCATGATGTGTTGCTTCCGCACGCGCGTGTGTGCCACAAGCATGTTGGTACGTATGATCGTGTTGATGGTGCTCTTGCTCACTTCCGACAATAAAAGACTGGTTTCGGCAGCCACGTGTGGGGCTACTTGTTGTCCATGCCACGAGAGCGCGCCCAAGGCCGCTCGGAGCTGAGTCTTCTCCCGGTCGTTAGTAGGTTGATCCTTGTTTCGTCGCTTAGACCCACACAACGGAATCTCCACAAGATGATCTTCAACGTAAGAAACCTGGCTCAGCTCAAAGCCCTGGGAGGTCTGTTGAACCTGCACTCCACACTGTGTAAACACATCCTGTTCCCAATCGCCCCACTTGAACTTAGAGCGAATCTTTTCCAGCACTCCCTGCCATTCCACGTCATGATCACTTCCTCCAAACAAGAAGTCGTCAACGTGTCCCGATATCATGCCTCGTAGTTCCCCTGATGGCCTCCATAGCCACAGGCAGGGATCCGACCATGCCCTTTCCAGCCCCAGACTGATAAGGTAATCTGACACTGTCTTGTACCATTCCAACGGAGCATCTACTAAACCGTAACAGGCCTTTTTCAGGCGCGTTACTGAGCCTCTCTGAATCTGCATGGCATCGCATATCTCGTCGCAGGGAATGCAAAACGGGTCGCTCGGATACGGCCGGCCTTGGAGGAACGCTCCAGACACGTCTCCTTTGAAGACGCGCCACTTTTTGTTGGCACACATCTGTAGGAAGCACTGTCGTGTTTGGCGGCTCATCACTGGTGAAGTTGTCTGACGATGTTCGTAGCTGGGGTCTTGATACCCCCAATAATACAGCCCTTGCCTTCGCCTTCTTGCCGCCACTTTCCAATGTTTTCCAAGTTAAAATCCATCTCATGTTGATGGCGGAGGCCTTGTCCGGGCGTACATCTTCAGGGAGCGCCTCAAAAGCCTCTGCTGCTATAAAGTTTTTCACTTCTGCCAGCTTGGCAGTCTTAAACAACTCGCGCTCATTCGGATCCAACCGCTTTTCGCTCACTTCCACTGCTCGCTTCTTGAGAACCCCGACGAAGTAGCCAGCTAGATTCGCTGTCGCATGCTTTAGCTTCCGGTGGGAGTCGGGGAGATCGATGTGAATCTCCACTGCTGTCTCGGGAGAACTGCAGAGTTCTCCACGGTTGCCCCAGGACTCCTCCTTGATCTCATTCCACCAGCACACGCCTGCTGCCCCGACATGAGGAGCCTGCTGTCGCCGTCGCTGAGCGGGACCGGGTGTCTCGGTCTCCATGTCCTCGTCCTCTGTCGGCCGGAGTGCTTCCGGCCTGCGTTTCCCTGCTATACGTCGTCGCGTTGGCGGCTCCTCCTGTAGGATATCCTGTGCCCGCTGCCACTCGGCATCATCGGGGCACTCTCGTGTGAGGTCCTCATACTGGTTGCCCCCGTTCCTCCCGTGTGGAGGCATAGTTGTTCAGGTGCGCACTTCAAGAGCTGCCGCCCTCTGACCAGCCAAACGGCTGACCCTGGACGGTAACTCCCAGCCTCGTCGGTTCGCGTCTCCATTGCCAAAATCCTGGCTGGTCGCAAGAACCTGCCCTTCTTGCTCCCTGGAGACACCCGGGACTTGCCGGATTCTTGGCTTCTCCAGAAAAACACCAAGTGGCCGGGACGGAAGCTTTGCACCCGGCGGCCTCTAGAATTGCTGGCCCTCTGCAGACGCTGTTGCGCCTGCCACTCGCTGTGGGCCTTCTCGGCCTGTGCTTGGCGGGCCACATTCCTGGCAAACTCTCCACTCGGATTTTCAATCTGAAGCTCGTCCGGCTGGCCGCTGGCCGCGTCAAGGAGCTGACCTGTCACGTCCACTCCCCTGCCAAACGCGTGTTGCAGGGGTGAGAAACCTCTCACCATGTCTCTCTGATTGAACGTTCTGACTGCCGTTGATAGCAACTCCTCTGTGGATATATCTGGGCTGTCAACTGTCACCTTGGTCATTACTTCTTTCAGTCCCTTGACAGCCTGTTCACATGCTCCTATCTGCCAGTGTGCTTCACCTGGTATCACATCCAGATATATGCCATTGTGGTCACAGTACTCGGTGAGTGCTTGGCTCCGGAAAGAGCCCGCTGGATCGAGCCGCAAGCAGCTCGGGTTACCGAAGTACTGAGTCCAACCCTCTCTTAAGTATTGAATGCACATGGCCGGGCTACTCGATAGCGCGAACCCTCATCAATGATCACCATGAAAGCCACATGCTCTCCTGTGTGTGGATTTTGCCAGTGGCCAATGTCGGCCGAGATGGTGGCCCACTTGGGTGGTAGAGGCTCCAAGGCTTTCGGCCAGAACTGCGTAACCTTGTGCCGGGTTGCTCGAGCCTGGCCAAGCAGCCGGGTGCCGTCTTCGTGTACCTGTGGCAAGGCGTTTTGACTCTGTTCGGTGAGCTCGGGGTCGTAAACCCAAAGCTCACCTCCCGTGTAGGTTCCTACTCCTACAATGTGGCTGGGGTACTTCGCGTGGTTGCGTTGGTCTCGGTGCACGGGGAGCTTGTTGTTTGTACTGATAGTCACTGAGGTCCATTGGGCTTCTTTTGGCAAGGCTTTCTAGCAAACTGGTTCAAATACCTTGTCAACCATGGTCGTTCAGCAGTGGCCTTGGTTTGTCCATAGAATCCTCCATGACTGTACATCCCTAGGTTCAGGTACTCCGAGGGAGGTCTACAGGCCCTCTTGGGATTCCTATGGGGTGGTTGAATGTTCGAGGTTCCCAGGAGCTCTTCTAACGCCTTCATGGTGAATCTGCCCTTTTCTAGGAGGTCTCTAGCTTTGTGCTCGGAATCGGCTTTGCTAGCTTGAAATCCTGGGCCCTTACTGTCACTAGCGCTGAACACCTGGGGTTCCACCTGTGAGGTTTCTGCCTGGGCTGTTTCAAAACCACCTGGTTTCCCCTGAACCTCTACTGGTCCCTCTGAACTTCCCTTCACCTCTGAACGGAGTCCCCATTGCCAGCACTTGGTGCACTTCTGTTCCGGCAAGTTCGGAATCTTCAAGTCGTCACAAAAACAAGTGTCGCCCACGCCAAACATCTCACACAGCTGAGTTTCGCCCTGGCCCTCTTTCAGAACCTCCGAAAACTCAAGTTCTTGAAGCACACCCGTGGCAACTCGCTGCGCAAACTCCTTGGTATATAAGTCTCCACTGGACCTGTGTGGGCCACTGCATCTAGCATGACAGTACGACTTCGGACACCTACATGGCAAATCCAGTAGCCTGGCGACCCTCTTGTGCGTGGTGAGTACACGCCAGCCCCGCTGCAGAAACTTCCCTTGAGGAGCCTCCCGAAGGTTCACAGAACATCCCTTGGTGACAACATCCCACAAGCTGAACTTCTGCTTAAGCTTCTGCAACATGGGCAATCTCCAAGCAAGTGATCTCTCGCTCATCTCCCACGCAACATGAATCCCTTGTTGAAGGCAATACTGAAAGATCACACAACAGCTCACATACACCCGTCGTGTTTCTAACCGCTTCTGGTTCAGCGCCTCCTGCTGTGCTTGGGTTCGGGTGTTGAGGTTTTGCAACGGACTATAAGGGCCTACGGGTGGTGACATCCACACCATAACAGGCTGCTCTAGGTCAATTCTGCTCAACACTAACTGCAAGCCTTCCTGAGTCCCTAGGTCGCACGCATTCCACAAGGCACATTGGGAGGCAGCTGACTCGGATCCGGTCATCTGTCGCACAACTGTTGACAGTGTGCTGTCTGGAGCACAGCACACCTCCATCAGCACTGTCCGCTCATGGCTAACCAGGTCCTGAAACAACCCTGGAACTAAGGACCATGCTTTCGCTTCTAAGGTCTTGGCTGCCCCATGATTAAGGTCCTGGCGTGCTCCATTGTCTAAGGTTCCGGACCCGTGCTTATCTGAGGTCACCTGTGCGGTAGACGTTGCCACTTCACTCACTTCATCCCATTCACCTTCTCGAAGCTGTGGTCCGAGCTCATCTCGTAGTCCGGGTGGTTCTCTCGGCGAGGTCGACTGCCTCGCTTCTCGCTCTGCAGCTCGGCCACTTCGGAGCGCAGCGCCTGAATCGCTGCCATCATCTCCTGCATCACCGTCGGGGATGCGCTTGACGAGGCCACCGACGAGGTGGTCTCGTTGGTCTTCCCACTTTTCATCTCCGTCTTCTGATATCCGGCTTTCGCTTTGGCGCTCTTCCATGAAGGTGCCGAGGTCGCGGTTGTCGAGGTGGTCCTTGAGGTCGTGGTTCGGCTCGGCCACTGTGCCAACCGGTGCAATCTTGGATTCGCCTCCCCCTCTTGGGAAGTCTCCTGAACCCACTTGCAGTACTCCGGGTGCTCGCGAAGGACCTCCATGTAGCTGAGGGACCCGTACTTCCCGAAGCCGAGCGGATCGGTCTCGTGGGCCACGGACAGGTCGTAGATCTTTCCCATGGCCTGGTTGGTCAACTGGGCCACCGTGGCATTCTCGGGAGCACGGAGTCCGAGACGCTTCTCCATGAATTCGATCAGGTCCTTCTTGCGTCCACTGGCTCGATTCATCTCGTTCGTGTAGCGCTGGTAATCGGTCTCGGCACGGGCACTGCTGGTGCCCCCAACTTCGACACCAGCCTCCTCGTTGAGCATCTGCTGCAGTTGCTGCTGCAACTCCAGACGACGGGTCGTCATGTCGGCGGAGCCCCCGCGGTTCCGGATGGCCTCCACAAGCTCGGTCTTGTTCATCTTGGAGATGCTCGGCATCGCCCTGGCTCGTGGCGGTAGCGAGGGAGAAGGCGGTATGCGTGACTTTGGGTCCTTGACGTACGGCTGCTCACTGCGTTGCTTGCGGTTTCTGGCAACTCTGATTGTGGAATTGGAAAAACACTCTCATCAGCATGCGCACTAGAAGCTTCACTAACCCGGGAAAGCCGCTCATGCACACCTGATGTTTCATCCCTACCTGCAAAAAACTCGTGGTCCTCCTGTGAGCCGGCAGGCTCTTGGCTCGACAGAAGGAGCTGTCCCTACTCACTCGGCAAAATCAGATCTCGTAAGCTGCTCACAGCATGCTTCATCACATAGGCACGATCCAAAAGATCGTCCGTCAAGGAAATCAACTGGTGTCCCGTGGAGGACCTAGACAGGGGAATCGCCTTCCGATTGTCCAGGCCGCGGAACACTACGAGATCTGCTTCAAAGTCTAGGACAGCCTTGAGGCTGCGCAGGGTTTCGATTGAAAGCAAGATGGGGCCATGTCCGCTATTCAACGAATGAACCTTCAAACGACCCTCATTCCCGCTCTCAAGCGCGCCTGTGCAGTTGAAATACACTTCTCGACACTAGAATTTCCGAAACTGAACACCGGCTTGTTGTCGGGGTCCAGCGACATGATGCCATCCTGTCCGGTCTTCATCTTGTTCCGCTGCATCAAGGCTTCGATGGCCGTCACGCTCCCGATTGTCTTGGTAGCGCCGCTGTCGAGGACGGCCATCCCGGCACGCATGGCTGCCTCCGTGCTCATATCCACGCCGTAGGCCTGCTGTGAGTCCCCTGTACACACCCCAGCGCTGAGGGCCTGCTCGGCGATGTCCGGCTCGTTCACATAGCACACGAAGGGGGCGGACTCTTCCGCATGCTCACTTTGATAGGACGTCTCCTTCTTGGGGCAATTGGCCGCCCGGTGGCCTTTCACCCCACATTTCAAACATGTCATGTCGCTGTCATTGCTGGGCCTTGGCTGGCTCCCCGAGGTGGCGGCACTGGAAGAGGCTGGCTTGAAGGTCTTTCCGGAGCTTCCTGCGTATCCTGAACGATAGTATTTCCGGGACAGGCGAACCTCGTTCTGCTTCGCTCGAGCCTCTTTGAGGGTCCGCTGCTGGTGGTGCAGTGCAGCCAGAGCCGTTTGGGCTTCCTCCTCTGCACTCGTCATCAGCGCCAGGCCTTCCTCGGTCATGCCTGCCTCCCGAAGCTCCTCGCCCTGAAAAGCCTCGTAGTGCTCCTCCTGATCAGCCTCCTCCATCGCCTCATTCAGGTAGCTGCTGTGGCGATGGGACTTGTCTCGGCGGGACAGTTCGGTCTCCGGCCACTGGGCCCGAAGCTCAGCTGCAACTCTCTGCAGGTCGAAGTTTCCTTGCAAGGCAGTTTGTACCATATTGCGCTCATGTACATCCAAACCTGAATCTTGCAATAAAACCATCCTTGGAGAAACGGTGGAATCAACTCCGGCATCTCGGGTGCCTTTGGCTCCTCAGGATAGGCGCCCCAACTTGAGGCCCCATAGTATCCCGAGCCCCAGCCCCAATAGTTGTAGCTGTAGCTCCAGCGAACTGTGCCATCCTTGGTCCCACTGCTGTCGGCTCCACCAGTTTTCAGGTGCTCGATCGGGGGCGCCTGCATCGCTGGCTGTGGGAGCGGCTGCTGTACTCGCCTCTCCTTCCGTCTGGGTCTCTGCGGCCTCCTCTTCCGGAGTGTCCTGAGAAGCCCTTGAGTCCCAGCTTCCACGGCGACTCGCTTCCCAAGGGCGCTGGCCCTGCCATACATGCAGCTGTGCCTTGTACGTAGGCTCCGTCGTCGTCTCACCTCGATCTTTGAGAACTCTCTGCATGGATTGCTGGGCTCGTACATACGCCTCACACTTCCGGGTCACGTAATCGTTGATCGTCTCTTGGGCACGCCTCTTCGTGCCCCGGAAGTAGCGCAGCAGCAGCTCTGACAGTTCGGGCAGCTGTGGCTTCCCAAGCCTCTGGCGCAAGAAAGCCATGAGCTCCTGCACCCCACTGGCGTGCGCGCCCCAGCTCGGGCTTTGCCCCAACACGAGGCGCTTAGCTGGACCGCTAAGTTCGGCCTTCAGCTTCGGAACACACATGTGTCGCTTGCGATAGCTCTGGGTCTCCACCCAGAGAAGACATTCTTCTTCGTACAACTGGAACAAGGCGGGATCCCCCGCCCACTGGGGGTACCGTCCTTGTTCTTGGGCACCGCATCACTCGTCATCCAGTGAAGGCGCACGTTCACTGGCTCACTTCGCGAAGTTCTTCACGGCCCTGGATCGCGGCTCAAGGTAGCTTGCGAGAACCTGCCCACTCTGAGTCTGGGTCACGCTCCGCTACCATGCAAGTGCGGCAGCGCCTTTGCTCAAGTTTCCAGTTGTAGCGGGCATCCCAGGCCACCGCTGACGCAGTGCACCGAGATCCGCCGACTCCACAGCTGGAGGAGACCGATGCTGCCCCCATGAGTGTCCCGTACTCACCAGACAGCCGAGGATACAGCGAGATTGAAGGAGCGTCCAGCATTGACTTAGACATCACCCTGGGCCACACCAGCTCGGATGCTGAGGCTCCTCCTCCTGCCAAGATGGCCCCGCCGGACACAACACAGGCCGCCTCTGTGGGTATGGACGATCAGGCTGAGGGCAGGCGGTCTCCGCGCCCACAAAGCAGACGTGTAGCATTTTTGCTGGTCAGGTCCGGATTGCGCTGTCACTGCTGCTTCAAGCTGAAGCACGAATGCGCGAGGCAAAATCGCCATGTCATTTCACCGCAGCTGCACCCTTGTAACCTGTCATATATCAACCACTGCCATCCTCAGCTTGTCTTCATTGCCTGCATTCGTGCACACCAAGGCCCTGTCCAGCGAAGGTCGGGACCTGAGGCACGGCCTCTTCGCATAATGCTGCATGATCGCTCTGATCAGTCGCGTCCGGTCACGCAGCTAGATCAGGTCCGCATCCCCTGTGCACAAAGCCCCCGGCACTCCTGCGATCCCAAACAGCCATGCCGGCACGGAGCACAACGGAGGACCGGCATGGGGCCAGCCACTCGGACGATCAACCCCTCATCTCGAGGAGACGATCCCACGTGGGCGAGGACGTAGAGGAACCCAAGGCAAAGAGGGCCAAGAAGCCCAAACCAGACGGTGGAGAGTGTGGGGCCACAGCCACATCTACTGAGGGTACGTCTAATGGGTCTGTGGCCTCCACAGCCAGGGAGCAGAATCCTCTCAGGAGTGCGGCAGTGCATGAAGCGTTTGCCAGGCTTGTCGTGGCACGTCTCCAGGGACGCCCGGATCCTTTCTAGCAGGTGTGCGGTCTCCGCCCTGCGAAGTTTTGAGGCTGTGAGTGCGTTGCAGCGGAAAAGCCTCACTAGGATGCATGCTGTTAGCAGACTAACCAGCCATGGCTACTGGCACGCTTCTTTCACTACGGCATTTAGCCTGCCTTTTCACGCTAGGCCAAGCCGGCCGCTGTAGATCGTGGACCCGAAGGGCGAGTGGTCTCCACGCCCGGCACGAGGCTAAGCCAGCAGCCAGGGATCGGTAGCCCAGAGGGTCATTCACGACAGGGTTTGCACGAGGTTCTGCAGCATTCGGCGCGGAGGGGTCGTAATCGTTTACCACAACCACATCACACCAGCCACGCCCCACACACTAACATCACCCCCGCGCATTCAGGACACATCAACGCGTATGACTGTCAGCATCAGCCGGGACACGTATGCTTCCCATGGTTCCGAGTCCTTCTTCTCAAAGGAAGTCCGCGCAACGTCTACCATCCTACCTCAGACACGGCGGGGGCGAGCCCGTGGGCGCACTGCGCCGACTCCGAGACGAGGCGCGGGCAGCTGCCCAATCACGTGACCTGCAAGCAAAAGCGCGCGCATGCCAGTCTAGACGGAGAACTCCTGGACGAGCCCCACAGATACGCCACCAGGCGAGGGAGACGATGAGGAAGTATAGAGGTGGAGGTGGAGATAGAGTCGACGGTTTCGCTCCGGTCTGCGCGGCGGAGCGCTTCACTGCGCCGTCCTCTTCGTCACGGAGGCCCCTGGGCCCATCCCGGGACCAGAGCTACGAGAAGCCCGACCGCACAAGTCCAGCACAACCGCACAGGACCATCGTCTCCTCGTCTAGCTGATCGAGGTCTGGCCACATCTCTTCGTCGGCCTCCTCTTCGTCTTGCTCGCGTCCCCGCTTGCTCTGAGTTGCCCTCTTCCTGAACTTGTTTGGCTGTCCCTGGCTCAGCCGTGGTCAGGTCGCATTCTGCTGGCGTAGCGGTGTTGGCGTCGCTGCCAGAGGGGAGCTGAGACCCCAGACCTGAGCCAACTGCTGCTCCGGCTCCAGCGGCGCTTGCTGTCCAGTCATGGCGTAGGCTGAGCTGGAGTAGCGGGAGGCACTTCTTCCTATGCTCATGCTCTTTGATTGACTGTTGAAAATGAACATCACACCACGGGCACGGTCTGGAGAAGTGAGCAGACATCAAAGTGACCGAATTCCCTATGGCATCTAGGAGCTTATTTTGCTCCTTATGACTGGCCTTGGTATGTCGCCTCCACGCCTGGATGTCCTGCATCAGCTCACCGCACTGTAGGCAGTGTGATTTGGCAACATTTGCCATGTGTTTGAGGAGTGGGTAGTCTGATGATGTGTCCGGGCTCACAAGGCACTCTGCAATACTGTTTCGCAACTGAGGCTGAGGCATAGGCCAAGTGGCAGGCAGTTTCACAACTGGCGTCGCGGAGTCCGCTTGTCGCCACACCTGAGCCAGGATGAGTTGAAAGAGGACCGGACATTGTGAGCAACGCCGGTCCACTCCATGTACCATCTTGTTACACCATCTGCACGGTTGATCTCTCGTTAACAGGTACTTGAACTTGGTGCATGCAGTGTGCAACTCAGCATTGATGGAGGGGGCTAAATCCTTGTGTATGCGCAGGATGTGAGTCTTGATCATGCCCGACTCGGCAATCCATCTCTGACAGAAGCCACAGTGCTGCTTCAGGTGATTACTGTGTAGGTCGGCCTGTGCGATGATGCCTTCATGTGTGTTAAGATGTCGGGAAACTACCGATTGCTGTAACAGAGGCTTTGATGCTTCTTCCTCGGATGCGGAGGGCCGCTCCCCCGAAGAGTCTGGCTTAGGTTTGGCCAGGTCAGGCTCACCTTACTGCAGACAGACCGGAGCCTTGGTGTGGGCATGTGCCTCCTGTGTGTTTGTGTTCGGAGTATTCCCTGCTTCTCCAAGTGATGGCAGTGTGTACCAGTTGCAAACATTCTGCATGATGTGTCCTTTAAGTGATTGCCAATTATATAACTTCATTGAGCAATGCTTGCATTGTGGCACGCCAGCCACTGAGTGCTGTTCCGGTTTGTACTCAATGTCTAGCTTGTCAGCCTGGATCTGGCCATGTCTCAGCGCCTGATGTTGTCGTAGAGCCTTCCTCGTGGGGTAGTACATGCCACAGGTGGGGCACGCGTGCTGTTCCGAGGCGGGTATTTCAGTAGGACATTACTGGCAGGAGTACTGGCAGCTTGGTGAAGCTGGGCTTTCAGTTGATGCCAGTACTCAAGCACACCTGGTCCCCTGATGGCAGGGTCTCCTTGGTTCTGCTGAAGTTGCTGAATCTTCCGAGCAATGCGCTGTTCCAGGACTGCAATTGGGTCTGGAAGATCATATTGTGCTCGGAGCTCACTATTGCTGACCTTCGTCAAATGCGCAGGCATTTGTACTGTTGCACGTAGTTGCCTATGAAACCATGCTCTCAGTTTAGTGATCATGTGGCTGTTAAACTGTACAGTCAAGAGGCCGTACATTGCACTACTGACAACACAGGTACGCCATACCCGTACACGATGGAACCTGGAGAGGCCCTTTCGTGAGCGGATGCTCTTTTTTTAGCGAAGAGGTTTTGCCCGCGGCCTCGGCCAGCCGATACTCAAGAGTGGGGTCTGAGCCTTCTTTAAGGATTTCTCAGGGATTGACTTTTAACCCATACGACTCAAGTGTATTGAAAAGGGCAATGATGGCGGCCTCCATCTGATGTATGTCTTGGATCGTTTTGAGCTGCCAGTGACCTAAGTGGTCATCCGCAAACAGGGTCCACGGGAGCTGCATTGGTGTGGCTTCTGCTGGCGTCAAGTCCCGAAGCACTTGCGATGACAGGATAGACCATAAGGCTGGGGCTAATCTGCAACCGGATACCTTGTGTGGTTTTGATTTTTGTGGAGTGGTATCTGTCGCTCACCTGATAGGCAGCTTCGTCATGTATTGCTGTTATCGTCGAGCGTAGGTTGGCATCAACTTGGTGCTGGAGCAGAGCACGATCCAGTTTTGCCCTGTTCACTCGATCGAAAGC